TCCAGATTAAATCACCCCATCCTCATCATCCCCACTCTGCTCCCAAGGTTGCTGGGCTTGGAATTCCAGTTATGGCAGGAATTTTACAGATTTGGAAACGGCACCAACAGAACACTCAGGGCCTTATTGATGGAACAATGAGTCATTCTGGCACTCCACTCCATCCCATCCCAGTCCTTGCAGAACTTTTAGCTAAAATTCAACTCTGCTTAATGCATCTGATTGAGGAGGGAGCAGCAGAGTTTCAGCTGGGTGTAGAACTCAGTGGTTAAAAATAAAAAAAAGAAATGAAAAAAAAATCCCTCAAATGACGAAAGTTTCATTTTTCACAACCATGTGAGAACAGAGAAGCAAAACACGAGCACAGCTATGAGGATTTTCTTGCTGCCCAGCAAGCCAGAAGAATAAAATATTTCAGAATGCAACACTTGAGCAGCAATTCTGGGCAGATAATTTCAGTGGTGTTCTACAAAAGGCTTAAAAGCTTCCCTTAATATGCACTTTACAACTGTGGCGAGCTAATGATGGTGCAAGACCACAAAATATTTCCCAAATCATTTCCCTAATGACCTGAAGCTTTCAGATGGGCTGCTGGTATTTGCTGTGTGTGATTTAAATGAGGATTGAGCCCAAAATTAAAGATTAAGGCAGAGCAAGAGCTGTCACCTGTCTCTTAGGAATGCACCTGACTTACAAACAGTGCAGAATGCCTGCACAGCAAATACAGGATGATTTTTGGGTCAATACTGACTGAATCTAGGCAGAACACATCCAAATTTTGGGTTTTACCATGCTCCAGCTGCTGGAATACAGTTTTTAGGGATACACTGGTTCCCAGCCTGTGGGAGTTGGAATTGTTGCCATTCAATCCAGGAAAACTGGGATATGTTACAAAATACTCTGCATTTTTAAACTGAGAGATTTCAGCACAAATGACTATTTTAAGCTTCTTTTTTGTCCTTCCAACCTCCTTCCTGACTGCTGGGTGCATCCATGGGGTTTCTGGGTGTGTATTTCGGATTTCTGGGTGCGTGGCTGGGATTTTGGGATGTGTGGCTGGGATTTGGGGATGCATGGATGGGATTTCTGGGTGTGTGGTTGGAATTTGTGGGATGCACGGATGGGATTTTGGGGTGTGTTGTTGGTATTTCTGGGTGTGTGGTTGGGATTTTGGGATGCATGGCTGGGATTTTAGGATGCATGGATGGGATTTTGGGATGCATGGATGGGATTTCTGGGTGCAGGGATGGGATTTAGGGATGCATGGATGGGATTTCTGGGTGCATGGCTGGATTTGGGGATGCATGGATGGGATTAAAGGATACATGGATGGGATTTCTGGATGTGTGGTTGGAATTTTTGGGATGCATGGATGGGATTTTGGGATGCATGGCTGGGATTTTGGGATGCATAGATGGGATTTCTGGGTGTGTGGATGGGATTTCTGGGTGCATGGATGGGATTTTGGGATGTATGGATGGGATTTGGGGTGTATGGATGGGATTTCTGGGTATGTGGTTGGGATTTCTGGGATGCATGGCTGGGACTTTGGGATGCACACATGGGATTTCTGCAATTCCTGCAAAGCTGGAGCAGAGCACCCTTGTGGAAGTCACTGCTCTTCTGTCAGGTGTGATTGGGATTGAAAACTTCTCAGGAGTTGTTGGGAAGAAGGAAGGCACAGAGACACAAGTGCACACGGGGCAAACGAGCTGTGCTTTCATTGGAAACCATTCCATAATTCCTTGGAAGTTTGCAGTTTCCTTCATTACACGTGCAAGCATCAGTGCCTTTTTTTTGGTCCTTATCCCAAATAAATCCCAGGAAATCTGAAATCCATCTCACATTTGCTTGGGCATTATCTCCCAAGGTTCAATGCCCTCCACATCCATGTGGGATGGAAGTGGAGTGTGCCATCCCCTCTCCATGAATTCCTTCCCAGGAATGTCCATGTGGGATGGAAGTGGAGTGTGCCATCCCCTCTCCATGAATTCCTTCCCAGGAATGTTTCTGGTCCTCCACGTTCAGAGACCCAAAACAAGGACAAAGTTCCCATTTCCCTATCGCAGGACAAACACATTTTTGGGAGGTGGATTGTTTCTTTTTGCATTTCACATTCTGGTGGAAACATTCCCTGAAAAACACTCGTTATCTCCCTGGCTATCCAGAGGCTGAAGTGAATAAAAACTGGGACTGGAACCCAAGGAAAACGGGACAATTTTGTGCCTCCACTGCTGAAACTGAGCAAAACAAACCCCATAAATTAAAGGCAGCTCTCGGGGCGAGCCACCTTCCGTTTTTGCTTCCTCCTCCCCTCGTTTACAGCTCCTGAGCTGTTCCTTTCCTCCTTGCAAAAGGTCCAAAACTGTAACAGTGCCACGTTCTCCTGGAAACCCACTGAAATGGCACGTGATGGGAGCCATATGATGGGAGCCTAATTACACAGGGGGCATATGGAAGGCATATGACACAGGGACATATGGAAGGCATATGATGGAAGGGCATCCGAGGACATATGATGGGAGTCTAATTAATTGACAATACATTCTTCTCATCAGGGGGAAGAGCTGGAATGCTGTTTTGTTCACAGGGAAAATATGCACATTGAATTATGTTCACTGACCATTCTCCCTTTTTAATGATGATTCCTCGGGTTTTGGAGGGGGATGGATCTTTTCATTGACATCTCGCAGCGTTAGCATCAAGTTGTGTTTGACAGGATTATTAGAAATAATAATTTGTTTTGAACCTCCTGAAGTTTGAGCGGGCTGAGCAAATCTGAAATGCTACCACCAAAAAAAAAACACAAAAAAACCAAAAGAGCCTGTTCTGATTTGGGATTATTTACAAAGCTGCTCCTAAAGAAGTACCAAACAGGTTTAAAAACCACAATGAAAAAAATATAGAAGATCCGGTTCTCATTTGGGATTATTCACAAAACTGTTTCTAAGGAAGTTGTAAAAAGGTTAAAAAACTACAAAAAAAAAAAAAAAAAAACCAAAAAAAGAAGAGCCTGTTCTTACTTGAGATTATTCACAAAGTTACTCTTAAAGAAGTCCTAAACAGGTAAAAAACCACAAAAAAACCCCAAAAAACCAAAAAGAACAAAAAAACAAAAGAAGAGCCTGTTCTTACTTGGGATTATTAATAAAGTTGCTCTTAAAGAAGTCCTAAACAGGGAAAAACTAAAAATAAAAAACCCAAAAAAAGAAGAGCCTGTTCTTACTTGGGATTATTCACAAAATTGCTCTTAAAGAAGTCCTGAACAGGTTTAAAAAAACCCACAAAAAAGACCCCAGTAAAAGAAGAGCCTGTTCTTACTTGGGATTATTCACGAATTTGCTCTTAAAGAAGTCCCAAACAGGTTAAAAACCACAAAAAAAAAAAAAAAAAAAAAAAAAAAACAACCCAAAACAATAAAAAAGAGCCTGTTCTTACTTGGGATTATTCACCAAGTTGCTCTTAAAGAACCTAAACAGGTTAAAAAAACACCAAAAATAAAAAAAAAAACACCAAAAAAAAACGTAAAAGAAGAGTCTGTTCTTACTTGGGATTATTCATAAAGTTGCTCTTAAAGAAGTTCTAAACAGGTTAAAAAAACCACAAAAAAGACCCCAAAAAAAGAAGAGCCTGTTCTTACTTGGGATTATTCACAAAACTGTTCCTAAAGAAGTCCCAAACAGGTTAAAAACCCCAACCCTCATGGAAAAAACCTCTGTGTTGGATGGGAATCAATGCAGCTGAAAATTTACACTTCCATCTGCAAAAAGATTTATGGGGGGGAAAAAAGGTAGTGCCTAGAATGTGCCAAAAAGATTCCTCATTTTTTAACTACCTGCATGTGTTTGGGGCATGTGCCTTCCTGAAAACAGAAGCAGCTTTGTGTTCTCCCAGATCTTTTCCTTGTCCTGAGGAGCTGCAGAGCTATAAACCATGGCAGTGATACCTGTAACCTCCCTGAAAGCAAGATGGGATAAAATCCCATTAATCCACTCTTGGAATAACTCCTAAGTGAGCCCTAGTAACCCTCACAGCTTCTCCTTGCATTCAGCAAACAGGGATTTGCAGATATTTAAGTTTTTAAGGGCCACTCTACCAGAAAAAAAAAAATATTTTCTGGATTATTTAGATACCTTGAAATATCAATATCGTGTTCACACTTCCAGATTAACCTAATGAAATTAACCCAGTGCCTGCTCTTTCTTTTTCTTCACCAACTGAACAAGTTTAGGAAGAGACAGAGCCTCTTATTTCTGGGAACTCAGAAAACCTTGCCAGAATTACTCATCTAGAGAGTGAAAAGATTTAAGTTCAGGTCCTGGGCCCTGACCAAGGGTTGTGGCCACCACCTTCACCCAGGCCCCCAGAGGACCTGAACCCTGAGTGCTGCCAACATCGAAAAGTTCACTTTTCTCTTCCAGCTTTAGGAGAGTTTCAAGGGTTTTTCAGGTCTCCAATATTCAGGCAAATAAAACCATGGGTTTCAGGAGCAGTTGGGTAAATTGGATGTTCCCGATTCCCTATAAAACACATCAAAAATGTGGGGGTTTTTGGTCCCAAAACATTTGGGGGTTTTTGGTCCCACATTTGGGGTGTTCCCCATCTCCTTTTTTACTTCTTTACAACATTTGGGGTGTTCCCCATCTCCTTTTTTGTTTCTCCACAACATTTGGGGTGTTCCCCATCTCCTTTTTGTTTCTCCACAACATTTGGGGTGTTCCCCAACTCCTTCACCCAAACTGCTGGGAGGGAGAAGCAAACCTCTGCTTTGAAAAACCCAACTTAAATGTACAAAACTCCCTAAAAATCCCCATTTACCTGAGTGTATTCCCCACTGGATATTCCCAAGGAACAGCTCTCCTGAGGGCTCTGTAGATTTAGGTACTTTCACCAAAACCCTTTTATCTGCAATCACCAGCCTTGTTTCACTCCCAGTGTAGAATTAACTGAGCCAATCAAAGACTAATAGAAAGGGGGGGAAAAATACAGATTATTTTTACCTTTGGAGACTTCTGCTTGCTGACCACGAAGGCAAGAACACTGAGAGGTTGCCATGGTGCTTTTTGGAAATGTTAACACCACGCTGCTCGAGGGCTAATGAAGGAAGACAAACATCACTGGATTTGCTACAAACTCAATAAAACAGCACCAACAAGCAGAACAAACGCTTATAAAAATCAACATTTTGATATTTCTAGAGAGGCAGAAGGATTTTTAAAAGGTTTTCCAGCTTGTCTTACCTGCTCTTTCCTGTTCCAGGTGTCCAGAGCAAAGATTGCTGAGGATTTTTTTGGTCGCTCCTCACGCCGGTGTGTGCAAGACCCAAGGAAAGCTAGGAGGTTGTACAGTTATCTCCCTTGGTGTAATTCTAAACTATACAACCTACTACCTCAACCTGGATGCATGCAGTCAAAAATTCATAACCTCAGGGGCTTCTACTTACACACAAAAAAAAAAAAAAAAAGAAAAAAAAAAGAAAAAAAAAAAAAAAGGCCTCGAAATCCTCAGTGGTTTAATTTAGAGGGAATAAACTGCTGGGGGAAAGACACCAACCCCAAATTCAGCTCCCCACAATGGAAATGTGATAAGACACAACAAGCCAGGGTTGTTTGTTTGGACAAGATCATGGAGGTTTTCACACAAGATGGAATTTTTTTTTCCTGGCCAAAATAATGGTGTTCCGCTTCCATAGCAGATTCAGAACATACACAGACATGTTCTTTTATAAAAAAAGCGCATTTAAAGAAGGCTTAGGGTGAAATTTGTCCTGACAAGTCTTTTCCTTCCTGAACACACCACGTTGACCTCGACCTTGGCTCCTGGAGGTTTGAAGGATGTGCAGGATGGGGCTGGGAGAGAACTGCAGAAGGGGAACAAATCCTGAGGTGAATTTGACCCTTTCACCAAAGGGTTCAAATGAATCATCCTGGAAAAGCAGCACCGAGCCTCCCTCAGCAGCCAGCCATGATCCCTTCACAAGCCACACGTTTTTAACTTGTTAAATTCCCAGCCAAACAAGCAGGATATTATCCTTGTGACTCACCCAGCACCCACCAAGGTGGCACTTCAAGCAGCAGGTTGCCTGATTATTATTATTATTATTATTATTATTATTATTATTATTATTATTATTATTATTATTATTATTATTATTATTATTATTATTATTATTATGTTATTATTATCAATCATCCTCAAATGTGCTGCTGGGGCTGGAGCTGCCCCTCAGTTTAATCCAGCCCCTGGCACAGCAGCTCTGTGCTGGAAGGGGATTCCAAGGGAATCAAACCTCAGGGATGAGCGCTGTGAACACACGTGCTGCTCTGTTTTCACAGGATAAAACAAAATTTCTGATGATGGAAAAGGCACTGCCCTGCCTTTACACCCCAAACCTGGCAGGAAATAAAGGGGGAAGATGGGAAGCAGCATCACTGCTCAGAATTCAGACTGCAACAGCAGGAGAACACGTTGGAAAAAATGCAAAATAATCTTTCTGTGATGTCTGAGTGCCCATGATGTTGATGGTATCCCAATTTCTTAGGACTCCATATTTGGTAAAGTTTACTTTGACCAAACGTGGAAATGCAGCATATTTTAGTTAGCAGCAGAGAGCTCAGTCACTGTTAACTGTTTGATTAGTTAGAGCAGGGAACAAAGCACAGCTTGGATAAAGAAATCACGGATTTCTGTCCCTTAACTCCAACCAGGAGCTGTCTTTATCCTGTCTAAAAGCATCCTGGGCCCAGTTCCTCCATCATTTCTGTGCACTGAACAGCTTTTGTCCAAAAGGAAATCCAATTCTTTAACTCAAGTTGTTTTATGGGAAGGAGTAAACCTGTGTGCTGCGTTAGGTTGATGGAAAATCTCAAATCCTGCCCAATCTCTGGGTCACAGAGCAGAAAAATTCCCACTCAGACTTCCAAAACCAACCTGTTCCACATTTTATAAACAAAACCATTTCAGCTAAACCACTCGTTTTCTACAATTTATCCCTGCAAGAATTTTTCTGCATCTCAGTCTTTAATATCCAACATTTCTCAACTGCAAATTTATCAATTATGAGCCACATCTGATCTGTTTAATGAGAAGGTGCTGTTAACACTAAACACAGGCACCCCTTGCACACCAGATATTTAAAAGCAGAGCTGAGGAAAAAAACCTCAACAACTCTCCAATAATTTCCTCTAAAATGGAAGGTAAAAAGGGATAGACAGTTTTGCTTCATTCGTATACTCAGCAAAGTCTTTTCATGGATAAATTACAATACTTAATTCCTTGCTTTAGATTTAGGCCAAAATAACCTAAATTTTTCTGAGATTGGCCAAAGCTAATGACTCCCCACCTCTCCTTGCTGCTCTTCCATCTCCACAAAGAGAATTCAGGAACTTTCTAAACACCAAAAACATTTCTGTCCCAGGGTTTGACACCTAACTCACCCTCTGTGGTCAACTTTTAGATATCTCCCTGTTGGAACTCAAAATGTCCCTCAGACATTTTTGGATGTTCTGGGCCCAGGTCAGAAGCATTTGAGACCCTGGCAGGCAGCTGGAAACAGCTGTGATTTTGGGTTTGAGCCATGGAATGATTTACCAACTTTGCAGGAAGAACAAGAAGTCACAAAAGTTTAGATATTATAGTAGAAGCAGTCACAAAGTAAAGGGAAGAATTTTTGAGTGCTGTACAGGGGGGTTTTGGTTTTGTACATGGGGGTCAGAGGTTTAAGATGGAGGGATTTGGGCCGTCCCTGTCCTCCCTCTTTCTCCTTCCTTACCTCCATGTTCTTGGTGATGTTGGCACTCACAGAGTGGTTTAGAGTAGAAAGGCACCATTTAATATAGGTAATGGGCATTGGGGAAAAACTGTAACATGTAACACGTAATGTACCATATAAAAGATAGAAAAGCACCATTTAATATAGGTAATGGGCACTGGGGACAAACTGTACCCATGTAACACGTAATGTACCATATAAAAGACAGCAGCAGCCCTGGGTGGGGAGAGAAGAAGCAGTCGGGAGTCAGAGAGGATGTCAGGGTGTGTGTGTGCCTCTGCCTGAGCTCTGAGCAAACCACAGCAGCCCAAGGAGAAAATCTTTTAGATAACTTGCAATAAACTGCCTTGAGACCGAACAACAGAGACTGCTGAGCCTTTCTTTGGAAGCTCGGGCTGGAGGAGAGACTTTTCCACCACACGGAGCCACCCTCGGCCCAGGGTGGTCTCTGACACCTCCCCATCCTGCTGTAGGAAATATCCTGGAAAATTCCCCCCATTTATGGCTCCATCACCCACTACAGGTGTTTTGCTCCCTCAAAGCTTGGACAACTCAAAGTGTATTTACATCCCAGAGGAACTGGGATTTGCAGCAGGAAATTCCCAGCAGGAAAAAGGTGCCAGGCATTCGAGTGGCGCTGTCACTTAAAATATCTGCTGGCAATGAAGGCAGGAAGGGCAGAGTTTGGGATTGTGATGGAATTTGTGTCCCTTGTGTCCCCTCTCCGTGCCTGCCCTGGGGAGGAGCAGAGCAGAGGCAGGCACGGCCCTGCTGACGCTTCCTCCTGGTGGCACCCAGCTCCCTGTTTGTTTTCTGGTGATTTTTGTCAATTATGTCTTTACCCAATTAGCACAATCATACCTAATTACGCAATTAGGGCGAATCTGTCATCTAATGACAATGCTGGGCTACGTTATGGATGTCAGGAGGTTCCTGTTGAACATGTGGAGCTCTGTGCTCCTAAATCACCTCACGGGGCCCCAGTGCCTTTTGTCTGGCACCCCTTTTAGGCCTCTTGCTGTTTCAGAATCCCAGAAATGATTTCACACTTCTGGGGACCAAAGGGAATCTCTGGCCCAGCCCAGCCTTATTCTAAAGCTACGGCGTAATTAAAAAATTGTATTTTTTCTCTCCCTGTAACTCTCTGATTCCTGAAAGAAACGTGATTCCAGCTGCTGTCCCATCACAGAAGTGTTGGGATTCTTTATCCAGGGAAAATTCCTTTCCAAAAGGAGACAGAATGCCACTGGAGCAGTTCTTCTCAGGCTCTCCAGCTCTGGAGTTCCCACCTGCCCATGCCACTGACCCCCAAAAACACCAGGACTGAGCTTCAGTATGGACTGGGAAATTTTCACTCCTCTCTTTTTTTACTGCCTGTCCTTCACTGTCTTCAGGTGAGAGAAAAATTCACAGAGCTGCTTCCCCTACCCACATTTCCTATTGAATTTCCCCAAGAGTGAGGTGAAAATCCCAACCAGAGCTGATTTTTGGCACCTGCCTGGTGCCAAAAATCCCATTCTTTGTGGAAAGCAGCAATTCAGCCACGCAGGGGTGCAGAGGGCAGAATATTCCCAAATAATGCCATAAAACAGTGCCTCATGCATTAATCCCCTGCCCTAAATCACACTGTATAGGCATTTACAGACCTGGTGACTTTGAACAGAATTCCAGCAATGGACATTCACTGTGGATGGTCAGGGAAGCTGAATTTTGTTCCATTATAATCAGGAAAATCATCAGCTGAGGTTTGGCTCTGAATCTCTTGGGCTGTGAACGATGTAGAAGAAGGAGGAACTCACCTTCCCTCTCAGATCCCAGGCAGGACTTGCCAAGGAGGGGGTGGGAAAACAAAATATTCCCTAAGCAAATGCATTTCCTGAAGTCATTGAGCAAAAACTAAATACAAAAACCCACAAATGCCACTGTTCCAGTTGGAGGGCTGAGATCCCATTGGCCAAATTTCAGCCTGGAGTGATCTTTTCTTTTTATTTTTCTTTTTTTTTAATTTTTTTTTTTTTTTGCTCAGACAGGAGTGGGTTTCACACTGGAAATGCTGACATGATTCCTGCTGTTCACCTCACTCCTTCAGCTTTATTTGGTGAAACTTTCTTAGAAGTCAGTTGTAATGAGGAACCTCAAGAGGTTCAAAGGTTTACCCCAGCTCAGAGAGCTCTCCTAGAAGTCTGGCAAACACACTAAAAAGGGCTGGAAGTCCAAGAGGCTGCAAAGTAGGGAAAGAAGCCTCATCTGGGCTCAGCTGAGACCCAGAGCAAGTAAATATTTTGAAAGCTCTCCAAAATTTTTCAACTCATGACAACAACCGTGCCTCAACTTTTAGCCAGGGTTGCAGCAATCTGAAGGTTTGCTCAATGTTATATTTCAGTCTCTGGGTTTTTTCTTTTTTCTAGGGGAGAGGTGGCTGAGATTTCACTCCTGAACCAAATGTGGTTTTTGGGAGGAGCTGCAGCATCAGCTCTGGGTGAGACAACAGAACCTGAACACCCTGTGCTGACCTAAGGGGGGAAAGTGGCACAAGTAAGAAGTGCTGACGACTCTAAACGACCCCAAAACTTTTTTGGGAGATTTTTTTGGCTTATCCCAAGCCTGCTTTGTGACTGAAACCCCGCAGAGCACGATGTGGGCCTGGAGCCACGGCTGGTTTCACCTGCGTGGTGAAGAATGAAAGAACTGAGAGGAAGCTGAAGCAACACCTGGTGCCACTTGCAGGGTGGATTGTTGGGGCTGAATTTCACCATGAACCTGCAAAAAATCCTTCCAGAGGCTTCCCAGACCTGCTGGAGCACTTCCAGCTCAGGGAATTCCATTCCTGAAATGCTCCTGAGCCACAGAGCATTCCTGGCTCAAGGGCAGGTGCACAAGGCGTGGATCCCTCCCCTAAAAATCCTCTCCTTTTCTCCTCCCTTACTGATTAGAAGCAAATAAACAAAAAGAGAGAGAGGAGGGGAGGGGAAAAAAAAATCAGATTACTGAAATAACCAGAATACTGAAATTTATCTGCCTTTTAAGAGTTTAACCAGATTTGATTATCTGAATAAGAGTATTTGGACACGGTTCAAATTCCAGGGTGCACAATTCCATTCTGCTTATCTTGAATCCCATTTGCCACTGCATATGGTTATTCTAATTACGCTCAGAGTGCTATTGTGTGCTCCTCTGCTGGCAGGGGCTCACTGTGCTCCTCAGCAGGCTGGGAAAGGAGGCAACGCACAAATAAATTCCCTTTTCACCCCTCAGTGGGGACCACGAGACATCCTTGTCTGCAGGGGACCTCGCAGGTGTTCTCAGGCAGCAACAGGAGTGAGGAGTGCTCTGTGAGAAATGGCACAGTGATATTTGGAGGGAGGAAAAGATTTACCAAACATTAAAATTTAAATTACAAAAAAATCAAAAAGAGGAGATTTGGGCAAGTTTTGCTTCTGCTGCTTTCAACTCTAACTCTGGCCAAAGGAAACAAGCCCAGCAAAACCTCCCCAGATGCAGATGCAGCCACACAGGAAGGGATTTTTTGGCTTTTTTTTAACCTCTAAAGCAGCCACTCTGCCCATTTCCACAGCAAGGAGCGGCAGTAATGAAGGCACTGATTTTTGGAGAGGATATTGGGACATTTTGGGGTAATTCCCACGTCCAGGTGCTCTGGTTTGATTCCAGAAGTGCCTCTTTAAGTCCTCCTTATAATAATAAGGGAAATAATAATAATAATAAAAAATCATGAATATAAAAAATGATGAATGCAATGAATAGAAAAAAAATTATTAATTGTATATAAAATATAAAATATATAACATGTATTATATTAATATATAATATATAATGTATAATTTATAATATGTAATACATAATTTAGAATATGTTATATATATGTTATATGTTATATGTTATATGTGATATATAATATAAAAATATATAATACATAATATATCATACATAATACATAATACATAATGTATAATATATAATGTATAATATATAATATATAATATATATAATAGGTGATATATAATATATAATATAAAAATATAATATATAATACATAATACATAATGTATAATATATGATATGTGATATATATAACAGGTGATATAGATAATATACGATATATATAATATGTGATATATATGTGATATATATATAATATGTGATAGATATAATACGTGATATATGTGACATATAATATGTGATATATAATATATAATAATGAATTATATTCATAATAATGAATATAAAAACAATGAATAATAATTTTTAAAAGGGGGACATAATAATAATAAAATAACCCCTTGTAAGCGCAGGTAGGAGCTGCACAGACTCCAATTCTGCTCCTCCACCCTAAAAGGATGACACATTTCAAGGCTCTTCACATCATTTTGCCAGACCCCAGTTTCACTCCAGAGCTTAATGAAGTGCAGTGGAACTCAGCAGCAGCACAGAAATACAAACTAAGGCTGGAAACAGAATGCAGAGATTTTGAAAAAGCTGGAAAACAACGGGGCAGAATATGGGGAGGCTGCAGCTAGAAAAGAGCAGGGTGGCAGTTGAACAGGAGACAAACTGAAATGCATTTTGAAACTAAGTAAGAATATTTTAAAACTCAGCAAGAACAGGATTTTTGGGTTTGCTGGGTAAGCTGAGCTCAGAGAAGCTGCAGAAGGGTCTGCTGGCTAAAGGAGTGAGAAGAAGCTGAGAAATAAGAAGTTGATAAGGAGCTTTCTTTAAGGTTGTTACTAAGGAGACTAAAAGAAGAGAGAAATTAAAGAAAAGGAGGGGACTCTGTGGTTAGATAAAGTATTTTTAGGAAGTCAGTTGAAGTTGCTGTTATTTTTTATTGATGGTGTTCTGTTGACTTATTGGAGTTGATAATTAGGGTAGAAGAATGTCTCTACTTTGTGCCACGACCACCTCGACAGCGACCAGAAGCTGTGCTGGTGGTGCTGCCCTCCTTCCATCCCCCTGCACGAGCCAAGAGCTGCAAGAGGCTTCCCTGAGCCTGTCCCACCAAGCTGAGCCACAGCACAACCCCAAACTCACCCCAAAAAACCAAAAAGATGCTCAGCCCCAGAAATAACTCCCTGCTCCTCCTCCCAGCAGCTCACCCCACTCCTGCTGCCACTTCTCTAAAGTTCCCTTTCTAAGCATCCAGCTGTGTTTAGACCAAGCCTCTCACCAAAAGGAGGGAAAAAAAAAATCAGATATTGATTAGCAGGTCCCAACATAGGCAGAGAGAAATTGCACTAAAATATTTTACAGAGGAGAAAACAAAAAAATCTCTTTCTTCTTTCCTCTTTTACGATTCAAGAGTTAAAGTTGTTTTAACTTTCAGAGAAATCATTACTGGGCTGGGGTTCCACGTTAATTCTATTTTTAAAGGCAAAAAACAAATTGATTTCCTAATTAAAAAAAAAAAAAACAAAAAAACAAAAAAACATACCAAACCAAATGGTGGTACCTCATTTTGGGACATATCTGACCCAATTCGTTTGGCACTCTCCAAGCAATGTCACTTGAAGTGCCAGGACATCCTTGACAAATTCCAGGCTTTTCTCGGCCCATTCTACCCCAAATGGCTTTAGAGAGGAGAGACCACCCTCCAGAAATATGGATTTTATTGGGTTTACCAGCTCATTTCTCCTTGGAGCTCAGACTAAACGAGCCCATGCTCCCCTTGGAGCCAGCACGTGGGAACCCAAGGCGATGAACATTCACAGCATTTAAAAGAGCAGCCCCAAAGCAGCACAGATTATTCACAGATCTTCTGGGAAAACCATTTTTTACTGTCCCCATCTCCTCCTGCTTCCATGGTGAGCCCCTGCTCATCCCACCATGGATGGAACAACGCCCACCCTCAAAATCCCAAAGGAGAGCCTGACTCCAGGTCCTGTTCTGGGTAAAATCCCACCACAGAACAGTCCAGCAGCAAAAGTTCTGCTGGAAACCACTCACCAGCTTTTATTCCCATCCAAACATTTGGGGAGTATTGAGGAGCAGCTTTTATACCCAACTTTGCATCACATAGGACACCAAAATGCAATTTTCTCTCCTTTTTTTTAAACTTTGTTTCAGCTCACAGAGAGAAAGAAGCGTGGCTGGACTTCTCTGACTTAATTTTAATATAAATGTTTCATCAAACTTCTACAATAAATAGAAAACACAGAGAAAACCCTGGAAATTCAGCAAAGAGAGGAAAAAAAACCCATTTTTTGGCCTACAGCAGTGTTTGTCAAAGCAGCCAAGTTCAAACCCAGAGAAATTTTAAGAGTGGAAATGCAGAGCAAATCTTTGGTGGAATTAACACTGAAAGCTGCTGGAAAGAAATAGTCAGAATTTATTTTGAGTTTACAGCCTAATTATTTTCATACAGAATCTGTACATTGGGGTTTTAAAAAAACACTTCTTCAAAAATAATTGTTCCACTCTCCCAACATGAAAGGTTACTTTTCCACAGCAGCCTTTGCACTGCCTGCTCCCACGGCTTTTTCCTGCCCTATCCCTTCTTTTGGACTTTCCAGCATGATTATTTTCTCTTTAAAACTATTTGAAAAGACACAACTGCCATGAAATTGGGAGGAATGGGGTTCTATAATAAACTGATTTTTGAAAGAGGAGTTGGAGGGCCAAGCCCCTGCTGTGTCAGAGAAGGGATTCCAAGTTCCTGGATATAAAGGAGGAGAAGTGATTGCTCCTCTCACAAATTCCTGGACTAAGCAAGGAAAGAATAACTCCATGTTACTTTATCAATGAAATTATTTTATCTGTTTCAGAATCAACACAAGAACGTTCCCTACCACATCCCCATCACCAGAGCAGGGCAGGACATGGGTGAAATTTAATTTCTTCAGCCTGATGTCAAATCAGCTCCTCCCCATCCCCTTTTCCTCAGCACCAACCAAGCAAACAACCCTTTGCAGCTCCACTTTTATATTCCTCTAAATAAATTTTTAAAAATTAAAAAAAAATTAAAAATAAAAGAGGGAGGAGGGGGGGAAAGGAGGAAAGAGTGAAGAATATTTGGAGGGGAAGTGCAGCAGCACCCCGGGGTGCTCTTGCCAGCCAGCCACAGACCTATAGATACAAGCTTGTGTGGAATATGAGCACAAGTTCGGATCTACGGGTTTGTGGCAGCAGGCAGGGATTGCTGCTGGCACTGGCAGGGTTTGGGGTCACTTTTGTGGGGGAAGGAAAGAGGAAAAAAACCTTTCTGCAGGTGGAATTTCTGAGTTTTAGCCAGGAGCCTTCGTTTTCTCAGCCCCTCCTCGGAGGGTGGGGGGCAGAGTGGATTATTGATTTTGTTCTGACATGAAGCCACAGATTCCTGCACTCCCATGGGAGCCTTAAGAAAATCAGAAAAATAAAATAAAAAATTAAACCAACCAAAATAAAGCTGATCTGTGTTTCTTCCTCACAAGCACTTTGCTGGACAGAATGTTACACAGTACTGAGGTAACAAGAATTGAATTAACAAGCAGCATTGGAGGAATATCACTAAAACAGGGTAGGAAATGATCCAACAGCAAAATTTTGGGATACAAACAGAATTCCAATACACAGCATCCCCCCAGCCTGCAAAAAGTTGTTTCCATTCTGGCAGCCTGGCTGAGCAGTCAGAAGAAACAACTGCCTGAGAGTTGTTTTAACTTTCAGAGAAGTCATTACTGGGCTGGGGTTCTACTTTAATTCTATTTTTAAAGGCAAAAAACAAAACCCCTGTTACTCTGCTGAACAAGCTGGCAATCCCCCTAACCTCAACTCTGCATTTCTTCCACACAGACAAATAGAAAAGTTCTTTGGGATTTTTCTAATAAAGCTTGAAAAGCAAAGTTTTGCCACCGCAAGCAGGAGGTGTCTTCTCCTTCCCCTGAGGTTTCCAACTTTGCTTTCCTGTGGAAGGAATATTTCCCATTTTATTGGTGGGGAGTCAGCCTGGCTGTGAGCCCCACATGGAGCTGGTGGAGAAAATCACTGAGATCAACCCTTGCTCAAAGTGTCACCAATTTTTCACTTCTTTTCCTTCAGGAGACAAACCATATTAATGCAAGTTAATATTATCCTCTGTGAAATCAAACAGGCACCACTTGGAAAAGAATTTTGCTATTTGGGTGCTGTTAGAAAATTCTCCCTCTTTTTTTTTTTTTTTTTTTTTTTGGTGCAGGTCCTTAAAATAAATCACTTCAACCTTTCCAGCCTGATAAATATGCAATTATAAAATACAATTTTCCTTTATTTGGAATCGCTGGGTGGCAAGAACCTCCTGTTATAGATGTTAAACTTTCACCATCTGCCCAAAGGTTAGCTAAATTCATCCTCCAACTTTAGATTCCTATGCTGACACTCACCTTAAAAGCATCTTAAAAGCCAAAATTCGTGCTGCAGCATCTTTGAAAATCCTGGCTGGCTTTGCTGTTGGAATTTTGGGGTGGAGGAGGCTCTGTCCCTGCAGTGGTGGAGGCTGGAGCAGGGCAGGGAGCACAGGGATTGTGCCCTCCTTGGGAACAGAGCTGCAAATGGAACACAACAAATGTTTTACCCGGCCAAAAATAACCCCAGCCCTCCACTACAAAGCTCATTTATTGCAGGGAACCTGAGGTTAAAATCCAGGTTGTCCAGCAGGGCCTAAAGGTACAATTTTAGGGTCAGTTGTTGCTGGGTGCACCAGGATTTCTGCCTGTAGCAGGGAATTTTGCCCCCAGTCTCACTGTGTTAAGCAAAACTGCATCAGGCAGAATGTTTTCTTTCTATTCAGTATATTCTTCTTAACCCTAATTGTGGGAAACAAATTTGTAGGGAATTATAAAAGTTTAATTGAATGTTATATGGTATGTGTTTGTATGTAAATGTTGAGATAAGAAATCTTGATTTAGAAATGGTATAGAATAGGATAATCAAAACCAGGAGATTAACCTGACATGTAATATCATTTACATTCGGTTATGTGTATGAAGTGAGCTAATCTGAATGGCTCTGGCAGAGAAATACTTGATTTTCTCACATGAGATGATCTCACTGGAATCATCATGAGGTTACATTTTCCTCACTTTATCTATTTCCAAAACCTTTTTTTTTTCTTTCCCAATAATTCCTGGGCTAATCTCCTTTCCCTGGGATAGGTGAAATCCATGAAAGAAACCAAGCTGTAAAATTTGGGTGGCTTTTGCATGGGACACGTGTCCCCAGCTCTGCCTGGAGGGGACACCCAGAGCCAGACCTTCGAGGAGCCCTGCACATGTTGCAGGAAATCTGGGATTTCTTGGGAAAACCCACCCTGTTTTCCCTGCTGCACCTCCCACTCCCCACCTGATTGGCTTTTCCAACACAAAAGGCAAGAAGGAGAGCTGGGATCCATCACCAGGGCTTCACTCAGGGGAAAAATGGGGAAAAAAAGGGGGAAAGCAGCAAAACCATCCATGGGAAAGCTCCAAAGAAATCCCCACAATAAATGTGATTGTGCCCCACGGCATTCCTGAGAGCTCTGGGACACAGGGATGGCATTCCATGGCACCTGTGTGCTGTAAATTACAAATATCCAGGAACCAACCCGCTCCTTCTGGAAAACAAACCCATGGACAAGCTTTAAGGCAGCAAACTGAGAAATGCAGCAGCAAACCCACAGTTTTATTTGTTGAAAATGCAGATTTTTTTCAATGAGAGCTGCTTTTTAAACAGGAATTTCACTTGTATCCAGTATATTCAGGGAGATTGAAAGAGAGCCATGGATTTGCCAAGATGTGGGGTTGGAAATGTTTTCCCCCACTGATTAATCCCAAAGCTATTGTACCTTGTGAAAACCTGATGAACATACACACAGTGGCAGAAAATCCATCAGAGGCAAACAAATCAATCAGCATCAGCCTGTATTTGCCTCAAATGCTGAGTTTACAAATAAAAAGTTTCAACCTGTACATTAAGGTATTTATCTTTAAGTTTCTCATATCCTTATGCTGAGCACACTTCATTATTAATTTTACAATATCAGGGATCACAGGATCAACAAGGCTCTGGTACGTGGGACAGCCAAAAATACAGAATATTTCTGTCAGCAACAACCCAAAATAAAGCTGGTATTTTAGAGATTAACATCCACAGGAATACAGAGGGAAATATGGGGAAATAAAATCTCTAAAGATCTAACACTGGGGTTTGGTCTGTGGGTGGTTTTCTTGCAAACCACAAAGCAGAAATGCCCTGTCCAGGGAAATCGATCACTACGGAATGCATTGTGTGCCTGAGCAAAAAGCTGCTTGCAGCCATTTCGTCCTTCTGCCCCGAAATTCAGGCAAATAAGAAACACAACTGTGAAATAATTCCCATTCTTTTCTCCCCAGTTTTAACCCCAATGTAATTAGGCCTATAAATATATATATATATACACGCACACACACATGCATTCTATCCTAGCTTCAAAAAGCAACTTTTGAAGGAATTCTGTGCTTGAAATAATTTTAAGGAATTAGAAAGAAAAGGGAGATACTGACTGAGAATCCAAATTACCTCAGCAGCATTCTGCAGGATTTCCTATGGAACGTGCGCTGCCATATTGCTAGGCCCAACTCCTCGGGAACGCATTCTGGAAGACAAAATATTTATGGATATTTTCATGGCATATTTTCAAGGAATGGATGCTGTTTTCCCTACAGCCAGAGGCTACAGCTTTAGGAGCAAAAGGAACAGCCAAGCTCCTACGAGAGAAATGACTCCCCACCTCTCAACATCCTCATTTTGAAATTTTTTTTGGCTGATTCTTTTCCGTGTTCCACCTTGGCTCAACCCACTCGCGCTCTCCCCCAACGCTGAACCCGTGGAAATAAAACATTCCTTGTAAAACACAACCTCTCCAGAAGTTTGCCAGTCCTATTCCCACCAAATCCTTTCAGGGAAATAAAGAAACAGCGAGGCAAACGCCTTCCCTGGCAGTCAGAGACACGCACCAAACTCTGCAAGGGATTCGTTCTCATCTCCAGATCCTCAGCCCAAAAGTCCAGCTGGAGAAAGCAGAATCAAAGAGGAGCATCGTTACCTGCTTTGGAGGAGGTTCACCAAGCTTTTTTAAGCTTGTTGACTCTTTTAACACTGATACAAGGAATAATTATTTCTCTGTGCCGACGCGATTGTGAAAAGAGGAGAAGCCCTGGGTTGTGGTGGCTCCGTGGATGCTATTCTTTTTGCACCACAGCAGGATTCTTGGCTGCCAGTCCAAGCTGCTTTCACTTGCCAAGTTTTAAGATGCCGGTTTTGCCTTTCATTTTATTGTTCCTTTCGCAACGTTAAAGAGCGACTTAAAAAAAAAACAATAAAAAAAAAAAAAAACCAAAAAAAAGAAACCCCCCCATGCACAGCTGCTATTGGGGAGGGGGGGAATTATTTGAATTTTGCACAAGAACGGAGATGAGGAAGGAGAGCGCTGCGATGTAACCACAACGACACCCACAGAAATATTCCCAATATTGAGGGGGACGGGCCGGCTCCAATCCTGGCGTTCCCCCACCGCCAGGGAAGGATAAAACCCAAAACCAGCCAGACCCACGAGCAACCACGGCAGAGGTGGAGGTCGATGCCTCTCCCCCTTCAGCAGCACCACCTCAATTCTTCATCCGCTCCAGGCTCTTCCTCCCCACGGAGGATTTCACCAGGGGGTGCAGGGATGGGGAGCTTGGGGAGCAGCCTCCTGCCAAAAGGGATTTCCCTGCACACATCCTCCCAGCCCACCCCACCCCTTTTCCGTGCCAGGATTCACCCATTCCCAAACATCCCGGCCTCTCTTGGATGCGATGCCACTGGGAAGAAGCTCCACGGAAAAACCTCTTGTCCCAACTCCCTGCGGGGTTCTCCTCCAAACACATTCCTTCACCGTAAGCCATTGAATTTCATTTTAAAAATTTTTTTATACTTTGTCAACGGACCGATTTAAATTTTTTTTCTTTTTTTTTCCTGTTTATTTTTCTTTTTTTTAAACTTATTTAGATTTTTTGAATTTTTTTTAAAATCATTATTATTTTTTAAATCCCCAACTTCACTGCCGAGGAGTCGATTTATTTCATTTTCCTTGACGTAGAAATAAAACTCCCGGGACCGGTGCCAAGGCTCGAGTGCATTTCAACAACCAAACAGCAGCAAAAAAAAAAAAAAGTTG